CTTTAAACTCTACAAACGGACATCGACGAGCCATCTAGCGGTGAATAAATAAAACTAATAAATTTTTCGGACATTTAATAAATTTTTTGTTTTATACTTAGAATTTGGTTATATTTATATAGAAATTAAATAAAATAAATTCTATTAAAGTATTTTAATCAATAAATAAAATTAATTAAATATCAAACATTTATATACACTGATTTCTTAAGCATATAAATTTTACGGAGTATATAGACAAGAGCAAATGAGTAGAAGAAGGATAGAGATAGGATAAAAATATTGAAATCAGCACCATTTCTAGAGTGTTGCAAATGAAATACAAAAAGAAAGGATAGAAGATAGTAGAAAAGGATAGAATATATGGTAAAACTGTACTAGTGTCGCCATCTTTTGAGTATTAAAAGAATCTTTTTAAAAATTTAATCAAGAGATGGCGCCAACGTTCAGTTTTTGTTACTTTGTTCGATCTTTAGAGATGCTTTTAGTACTCAAGAGATGGCACCACATGTTCTATTTGTCCATATTTATTCTACAAAATGCGTTCAGCCATGTTGTGAAATTTGAATCGACTTTGTTAGTTCCTTCGCACATGTTTTTTTCAATATATTTGTGATAAAAGTGAATTTCTTATCTTCGAAAGTGAATTTTTCGATTCAAGGAAAGTGGATGTGTCAATGGTAATTAATAAAACTTTATAAGTATATAGATATAGATGATTTAATTGTCGAAAGAAACAATTTTCGCGTAGCTATAGGAACAACATGAACTGTGCTTGGAAAGGATTAACACTTGTCTTTTGCTTTTTCTTTTTTCACTTCTTCTTCTGGCTGGAAACGCATATTTCTAATCGCTTTCGTACACACGGAGTGCAAATTGCGAGCACGGAGACACAATTCAATGAAACGCGGGACAGAAAATTTGTTTTTTTACTTTATATAGCGAATGTTGAATCACGATTTCGCTGTTCTTCCTAACCTGCATCTGTGTGTATGCAATTGTATGTGGGTATGCGTAATTATTTACTGTAAAAGAATATTGATTCTGTACAAGTTAATCGTTAAAGAGATAATTAACTATTGAGTCTTCTTGAGGTATCGTTGTTTCTATTGGTCTATCATCGGAGCTGTGCTCGTCGAAAATCTATCTGTTTTCTCGCACATTTTCTTCCATCTTTATTTCTCTATTTTCTATTTTGTCCCTCTATCGCGTCACGTAATTCGTATTAGTTTTTTTTCTTCTTATTTCTTTTTTTTTTTTAAATATTTTCTTTTTTTTTTTATACTTTTTTTTTTCTATTCTTTCTTATTGATTCGGCAGTATACAGCGTCGATTCTACGACGATCACAGCAAATGTAAAACGTGTGGTTGTCTTCCTGTAACAAAATATAAATCTCCATTATGCATTCCCTGCTTTTACCATTTTAAAATCCGAATAATAACGCGAATAATAACCTATAGTACCCTATTAATTTCACATGCCTGGCAGGCATCGAAGAAATCGTTAACCGCGTGTACTTGGCGCAAATTTATCTTTTTGTTCAAGATATATAAATTCAATCGCAAGGTACGTGTGTCTCGCATCGATCAAGTCGCTAACAAATTAAACCTAAGGGATCGTCACAAAAATATTTTTCGCACGAAAATCTCACAGAATAAACGTGCTTGGGAGCATAAGTGGCCCGTGTGCTTCTATTCGTGGAATAATAGCGTTGATGCCTCGTTGATGTGGCAGTAACGGTAACGCAATCGTAATGCTTCTCTACAATTCAGGTTTCAATACTTCAATCGATTTCCTCATTGGATACAATTTTAATTTCGTTACGTGTGGGATACAGGCGAAACTAGCGTTTCCTCGCGAATGGTACAATACGTAAAAACGTACATCGCATATAGTCCGCAACATTGTCAGATCAGAGATTCAAATTCATCGTAAATCAATAATATAAGATAAAAATAGATCATCATAAATACATCTCTATTTAGTATTTAGTTCGTCGCTCGAACATATACACAATGATTCATTTCATTTCGATTCATCGTATAATAAAATTTTCAATTGTAAAATATAAATAGATTGATTCATCTCGTTAATTATATTTCGATCTTCGTTTAGGATCGGCCACGAACAAGATACGATGTACCATAAACTTGTGCCTCGTAAAGGATTATTTTTTTTGGCGATACCAATTATGGTGCGTCAGAAAAAAATCTTCAAATCTCTTTTCGTCTCCTCTAAGCGCTCCGTTTTCTTTTGCTACAAAAAATTAATCGAGAGATCATCATCATCATATCCATACCTATTGTCTTCCTATCTTAGCCTTCTTTTTCGTGCCTTTCACAATTTCTCACAGTTACCGCAGAACATATAGTTACGAGTGGTAGCTGCAGTACCGATATACAGAATAGCAACGAAAAAACGAAAAAAAAATTCGTAAACTGAAACTTCTATACGAGTACAAATTTTCGGAATATGAGTTACTTTTTTTTTCTTTTTTTTATCTTTTTTTTTCTCTCTCTCTCTCTCTCTCTTTTATACTCTTTCTCGTAATGGAAATATTCGAGGGTCACACGAAAAAAACCCCATTTTCCTTTACACAATCTTAGCACGATCAAAATTACATCGGTTCGATATAGACCTACATTTTTCTCTATCCTCGAATTAAAACGTTCTTGCTTCTATATGTTGTGTGTTCGATTACATTACGTAGAATTTTGCAACACGATACACACATTTCTACTTCGACAGGTCTACATGTTAGATCGTGTACAATCTCTCTCTCCTCTCTCTCCTCTCTCTCTCTCTCACTCGCTCTCTCTCTCTCTTTCTCTCTCTCAAACATCTCAATTCGCTCTTTCGTCGATCATATAGTAAAGCACGAGGACATCACGCGCGGTGAAAATAATATTTCGCCTTGCATCTCTCTCACAATCGTACGTAATGAATAGTTTTTGTCGTAAAACTCTATATTACATTAGTAACATATTACACAAGCGACTTCCTGTCAAAGAAGTCGAACACAATCGCGGATCACATAATTATCCGAGCGAATGTATATACGTTATCACGTATAGTCTCATTCATAATTGTCTTCTTGGCCTATTTATAACCATATGTTTTATACAATCTTAAATAACTAAAATGTTCTGCCACTTTATATATATATATATATATATATATATATATAATATAACTTCAGTTCGCAGCTTCTTCATCTCTGTTCTTTTTCTTCCTCGTGTGCAATACGAGAGCCGCTGCGCGTGATTCAAATTTAACAAATATAACACACGCTAACGTGTATCTATGTATGTATGTATGTATATATATATATATATATAT